GTAAAACACAATAAACTCCCTTGCCCTATCTGGTTCTTACTAGACTTCTCTGAAATTATGTCTTGGATGGCTAGGTAAAAGAGGAAATGGTCTGATCTGAGAGCCAAGATGGGGTAAACTGGTTAAACTGGGATGAGAACAACAGTTTGCAAAGCACAGTTCAGAAGCTATTGTCACAGTTAGGCCTATGTAATAAGTGAGCTGATGCTGGGTTGGAAACATCAGGATAGTTTGTTTTACTACCTTTAGTGTCAAATATAGTTTTCCATCTTTGTGAAATCATGGACATGTCTCATCCCAGCCTCATCGTTTCAACAAGAATAACAATATTTACTTCCTCTCCTGAATTGTGATAATGGTTAAAGATATTTGACTAGTACAGAGTATTATCTCAAATCTGGGCAATGATTCAATAAATAAAAGCCCTATCTATCTATCTATTTATCTATCTATCTATCTATCTATCTACACTCTTAGGTCCCCACGTTAAGGAAAGTAGGCATGAAGAGATTCCACTTGTGGAATTAATTACTTTTCTTTTTGTTGAGACAAAATACTGGACTCCCCAAGTTAAAAGTAGAAAAGGTTTATTTAGCTCACAGTTTGCAGAGGTTTTGGTTCATAGCAGGGGGGTACTACAGAGGAGAAACAGTTTATGGTGGGCAAAAGGTAAAACAGGCAAAGCACCTTAGCAGTTTCTTTCTGCCCCTTTTATATTCTATCTGGGCTACTGGGATTAGGGTGGGGCCACACTAATCAGTAGACTGATTTAATGATCACACACCCTTAATCTCAGCATCACACACTCTAGTTTCCAGTCACCTTTGAAAAAGCCCCTCCTATGATTGCATGAGGCTTTGCGGGGAACATCTAGACACAGCCATAACAGTAAGTGAAGGAGTTGCCCAAACTTTTCTGTACTGTCTGTTCATTTATAGGTTTTCTTTAATTTTTACTTCATTGGAATAAAGATGGGATAATGCTGAAAACCATCATGGTCCAAACATATTTGTAGGGAAAGTAATCAAATGTCTAAGAAATGGATATTTCTTTTTTGTTTGTTTGGTTTTTTTTGTTTTTCTCTGGTACCGGGAACCGAACTCACAACCTTGCGCTTGCCAGGCAGGCGCTTTTGCCGCTGAGCTAAATCCCCAGCCCCGAAATGGGTATTTCTTATGGCACTCCAGATATATTATGGAACTCCAGATATATTATGGCACTCCAGACTCAAGCTCCAGCAGAAACAAGGCCTTGTTTAATGCCTTAGTGGACACTTGAACTCTCAATAAGTCTTAAAAGGCAGCCTATCCCAAGCTTATTTCCAACCTATCAATGTGGATTGGTTAAATGAAGTTCTTCTAATGCGAAGCTTTTATAAAAGAGGTTGGTTTATTGGGTAAGCTGGACATTATAGTGCAACTGACCACTTTGATCCTCTTTCTCCCACTGTAGGATCCAAGTAGATTAACTCTTGGCTGGGGAATTTTATTCCTTGAGTTTAGGGACCCATGGCAGACAAAATACGGTGTCTCCGAAGTCATGGTAGGAGAGCTAAAGTACAAGAATTGGATCATCCACAGGAAATGTCCATGAAATGCCAGTCACAGTGTCTCTGCCTGCTGAGTTCCATGCCTCCTCTTAGAGCATCCCTTCTGCTGTCCATGTCCAGCTTCCTGTTGGTGTGTCTCCTCCAAGGGTGTTGTATCAGAAGTGGGCCTATCCCTATCTTGGGTGCATTTCCTTCTAACTTAGAAAAGTTGTAGGTTCATTATAATTGGACCAACTTCTTTAGTATGACAAAGGAGGCAAAACCTGCCCAGTCCCAGTGTGATCCAATTATTTGGTGTTGGGTGGGTCCTAGGGTCTACTGAGCAACACCAACTTATCTCTAGTTTGTATACTCAAAAACATACCTCCTAAATCAAAGCACATTCAGGATAATCTTAAGTAATTCTTTTCCTCCCTAAAGAAATTCCACAATAACTTTCTGTAGAGATTTTGTTTTAGTATGCATGATGAAGTGGTCCTTAGTAGAAGTCTAGGAAAATTTGTTTAGAATGTCTCATACTGTCAAAAGGGAAAATTAAATGTTTGTGAAGTTCAGCACATGTCACTTTAAGCAGCATTATGTTAACCTAAGAGAGGATGGCTCAGTTTTATCGAAGGTTAATTATCCACTGGAAGGATTCCAGAGGCTTTGCTGGCAGTTCCAGCAAAAGATTCAGGTACAAACATGAAGAGGAAATATTTGTGAATTGAGAATGGATAATGAGGCTTTTAGCTTGTCTGGAGTAAAGGCTTTTATGATGGAGTTTGGGATATGATTAAAGAGGGAGATCAGAACCAGATTTTTGAGGGCCTTGAAATTCCTCTTAAAAAAAAAAAAGAATCTGTCCAATAATAGAAGTCACAATTTAAAATGTTGCTCTGACAGCCATGTGGAAAATCCAGGGAGGGGTGTGTGGAAGAACCTGGAATCCAATTGTCAAGCTCCTCAGCTGCCGAGATTGTCCAAGTATGAGGAAATAGCAGTGAGAATTGAGCAGAAGGTAAAGAAGAATGATGTGATTAATTAATTAAGGAGATGGAGCAAAGACGACCCTGGGCCGAGGGCTTAGATTGGCAGGTTGACCCTTGCCTCAGACAGAAAAGGAACTGTTGAAAGAGAAGGAAAGAGAGAGGGAAAAGTAAAAAGGGAAGAGTGGAGCAGAAGGGGAAAACCAAACAGACTGGGGTAAAAGAAGATGTGTTCAGTTTAAGATATATTCTACATGAGGTTGCAAGGTACAGGGTGTTTTTAAACATAAAATACTAAAATGTATAGGAAATAATATCTCTCAAACAGATGGATGACCCCCCCCAGCTTAGTTTATGCATTAGTGGGTAAATACGACTTTTTGTAAGAATGAGGTAGGATTCACTGAAAATTCTCTTGCTAGCTTTCAGTTTTCATAGATGTAGTTCATTAAGTTTGTTCACATAAATACATAGGCAGAAACAAAAGGAGCATTGTTATCATGAGGTCACTCAAGTCTTTGAGTTAAATGTATGTTCTGTGCCAGAAATCGGAGTGATTTGTCATCCAAAATTATTTTTAATGATCAACAGGCAGCAATGTGATTAGGTCTCTTCTGTTTTGCTGGAAACCAAGTATTAGAAAAAGTAGGAAAAGAATATATTGCCCAGTTATTAGAGGCAAAATTTGCCTTCTAACATTGACATTAATATTTTGAGTTATTTTGTTTCATGACCAGTTTTGCACCCAGAGGCAGAACACTTAGGTAGGGTTCAGGATGTAGGAGGGAGCCAGCCTTTTGTGGACTGCGGGACAGGAACTGCTGGACAGGTGGGACAAGGGAAGGGCCACAGCTGGGGTGTGAGGCAGGGGAGCATGTCCTCAACCACAGTGACTCCTGAGGTCCAATATCAGAAAGAACAACGAAGATGCCCACTGATGATCTGGAAGTTGATTCCTTTAAAACCATGTGTACCTTTTTGCTCCTAGCCATGTATTTCCACTGTGAAGACTGCTTGTGTGGGGAAAAGAACAGCACAGTGAAGTGTCACTAACGCCTTTCCAGATTTACAGATTTAGACAGAGTCAGTGGCCGAAAAGGATGATGCATGTGGACAGAGGGAGGACCCTGACCGTCACCCCAAGTACAATGACCTTATTCCTGTAGTTGGTGGCAGAAAATTAATTCTGTTAGCAATTAGACATGGACTTCTGCAGCAGAGTCGAGCCTATTTTAGAGCAGAAGAGCTCCTAGAGAACTATGGATAAAGCAGACAGGCCAAGACATGGTCCTTGGGAGAGGTACTGTCTTGTTGAACAGCAGAACCCATTTTTCCAGCAGATCCATTTTGTTTCATGTGAGTGAGTTTTACTTTTAAATGATCACTGAAGCTAGAGCTTAATAAAGCCCACCCGGGAGCAACCCTTTCATTCTTCCTTTGGTTTCCCTTCCCTAGCTTCTGAGCAGTCCTGTGCTCTCAGAGCTTTCCCCGTGGTGCCTGCATGGTTTCACACACCTGTTATTTCACTCAAATGCACTTGGGTCTGACTGTGTTTGTCTTGTGCCTGTTTTTCCTATCCGACCAGGAGGTTCATTGCGGTTGGAATTGGCCTTAAGTTATCTGATGTCATGGCTTGTGTCTAAATGTCCCCCAAAGCCTCATGCAGTCATACATGCGGGGCTTTTTCAGAGGTGGCTGGATCTAGAGTGTGTGACACTGGGATTGATTCATGGTGCAATGCTAGGCTCAAGTGCACGAGGATTAAGGGTGTGAGTGTTACCTGCCCTAAGTGCCTGGATCAAATATAAGGGTTAGAAAGGGTGGTAGTCATTCCTTATTTGAATGCTTTTGCTGTCTTCTGCCCACCATGAACTGTTTCTCTTCTGTGATGCCTGTCAGCCATGCCACCCTGCCTTGGAGCTAGCTGATTATGGATGGAAACCTCCACCAACTGTGAGCTAAATAAACCTTCACTTTGGGTATGTTGGGTATTTTGTCTCAGCAGCTAGAGACAAGTGAGTATGACACTTGACTAATAAGGAAGAGAGTTCTCCTTCTACTTTATAAAAGAAAAAGATTAGATTTAACTGCATCATGAGAGGCCATATCCAGAGCTTTATTTGTCCAAAGTCCCATGTCTTCTATCAGAAAGCCTGAGTATTTTAAATTTGCTCTAAAATCTAGATGAGATTCAGGCCCATTCCAGCCTGTCATCAGACAGCAGGCTGCTATGCACTTTATGTGTATTAATTGCAATCAGGCAGGCATGAGCTAATCATAGATTAATGCAGATTGGTGCCAAATTCATGGGCTGTCCAGGTCTATTTCTTCAAAGAAAGAAAGGAACTGACTTCCCCGTGACCGCGTGGCACCTGGCAGAGGTGTATGCCAATGGATAAGTGAATGAGTCCTGAGAATACCACTCTTTATTATTTTCAGAAATGAGTGTTTATGTGTATTGTCTGCATTTATCCTCCCAACAGCCTCAGATGATAGATGGCACCCGACATTAACACTGATCGCAGCATATAAACACCAGGAAATAACGAGAAGGGATTGGACTTCCAGAATGGGTAGATTTGTGTTTATTTACTTAGTTCTTTCTAATTGCCATGTGATTTAGGGAGGTTATAATATTGCTTCTTGTCCCTGGGTTTTATTACGTTGACAATAACCAAAAAGGAACGAGAAAGTGGGGAAGGCAGAAAGGAGGAGAGGAGAAAGAAAAGGATTATTTTATAGCTTGGCTCTGATGATATAATGGGGTTCAGGAAATGATTATATGCTATCAATAGACAAATGACTGAATCAACTTTGGTAGGCATATGCCATAATAGTACTATCCAATAATTTTTTTGAAACTTGTGTACAGTATGCAGTAATGGAAAAATGCTATTGATCTAAATACACAGATCTGGAAATTTCTCTAATATATTTTTTTCTAGTTGAGTCTTTTTTTTTCCAGTTTTTATTTCTTATGAGTATATGTTTGCAGTGCATACCAGTAATCATTACATTGGTTGTGGGGAGTTGGAACCTGTACATAACAAATCTTAATTCTTTTTTTCAATCCCCTTCCTTTTCCTCTTTCTCCTCTCCCTCCACCTCTTGGTCCCATTCCCTTTTACAAAAGAGCTGTCTCCTTTTGTCCTATTAGTTTTCTTTTATTCTACTCTTTACTTATATTTTGGGTTTCTCACATAAGAGAAACCATGTGATATTTAAACTGGTATGTGGGATTTATTTTACTTCACAGCACCTGTGTCCATTTTCCTATAAATTACTCAAATTTAGCATTCTTTATGGCCAAATAGTACTCCTTCACATATAAATACATTTTCTGTATGCATTCATCTGTTGGTGGACATATAGGCCTCTTCCAAGATTTAGCTATTATGAATTGTGCTGCTATGACCATGGGTGTGCATGTATCGCTGTAATATGATGTCTCTAACTCTTTTGGGAAGATACTTAGAAAGGGAATAGCTGGGTCAAATGGAATTTCTACTTTGAGTTCCTTGATGAATCTCCGTACTGATTTCCACAGTGGTCATGCTAGTTTACATTCTCACCAACAATGTAGAAGTGTTCTTTTTTCCCCACCATCTTGCCAGCATTTGTTCTTTTTTGATTTCTTAATGATAGCTAGTCTTTCTGGACAAAGGGTCTCAATGTTATTTTAATCTTCATTTCTGTAATGGCCAGATGTTGAACAATTTTCCGTGTATTTATTGGCCATGTATACTACTTCTGAGAAGTTTCTAAGAAATACTCTTATATTGAAAAAGCAGATGTGCATCATCTGTGATCCCACTTATATTATGTAAAATTAGAAAACTTACAAGTGAATATAGAATATGGAAAGTTAATTTGCTGATGTCCATCTTGAACCTGTTAACTTGACCATGCCCTGTGACTCAGGTCAGGCATATCGTCTGTTCTCACGTGTTCCTGGGAAGGGAAAACAGCTCACCCCAAACCTCTCATTCTACTGAGTACGTCTTACACGGGTCACCACCGGGCTCCCTAAGCATATTGCTCATCAAGAGAGTAATTATATTCTTTTTTCCCAAGGAAGAGCTCAGATTCTTCCTCCTCCTTCACTTAACTTGATGAGCTCATTCCTAAGTGCCCACACTGGCTATAGATGTGTAATTGGCTGTGTAAGTTGTGTTGCTATGTACAAACTACCCCAGAATTTAGTAGCCATCTTGGTTACTTTTTTCTTGCTGCTGAGACAAAATACCCAACGCCCAAAATTAAGAATGGAAAGGGTTATTTAGCTCACAGTTTATGGAGGTTTCAGTCTGTAATCAGCAGGCTCCAAGGCAGGAAGGCATGGCACAAGCGCAACACTTCAAGGGGGCACAAGACAGCAAAAGCAGCAAGAGCAAAAAGGGTGGGGAACTAGCCATTTTTCCTCCCTTATATTGTAAGCAGGCTACCCCCACCCAGGGGGCATGTAGCACTCACACACTCTCCATGCCCTTCTCCTGCACAGGCTCAGCATAAATACAAAGTAAGGACCCTGGCTCCCTGCTGTGTCACATAGTTAACCTTCTAAACTTCTCAAGTTGACACAATGAACAACATCCCAGAGAAGCCATGAGGGGCTTGTCTTTTACATCCCAGGAAGTAGAACTGCTGAGTTACTTAGCCAAGCCTCTAGACACCTCAAGTTGACACAATGTATCAACCATAACAGTGGCTTAAACACAACATGAATTTACCTCTCAGTTTCTTTGATTCAGAAATTTGAGTGCAGTTTAGCTACATTCTCTGGTTGAAGGTCTCTCAGCAGGCTGCTACAAGGCCAGAGACCAAGGGATGATTCACTTCCAAGCTCATCCACATGGTTATTTGCATCATTCAGGTCCTCCAGGGCCGTTGACTGGAGGCCACTCTTAGATCTTGATACTTGGGCCTCTCGGTATGGCCGCTCTCATGGCCACTGTCTTCGTCAGAGTTAGCATGTAAGAAAAACTAAGAGCTTGAGCAAGATGAAATCACAGACCTACACAGCCTCATCTTAGAATCACCCCTTGCTTTTACCACCTCTGTTTCTTAGAAGTAAGCCCCGTGGTCCAGCCTTTAAGGTAGAAGGGGAATGTTGGTTGCCTGACCCTGCAGACACCAGGAGATGAGGTCATTCCAGAAACTGCCAGTCACAGTGATTCATGGGGCTCTCTGAGTAAATTCACAAACAAAAAACTTTTGTACAGGTTTTGTACAGGTGAAGGGTCTTCAGACTCTTAAACAACTCTTAAAGAAAAATGATGCCTAACCACAAATGCTTTTCATATGGTTGGTGCTAGATAATTACAATTTTTCTGTCTTTGAACTTTTCATTTGAAACTAGTTTTAAAGTTAAAACTGAAAGAGTAAAAGAACCTCATATCATTATTTGTCAATAGCGATATTTTGAAATTTGTCTCGCAGGAGGGCAGCGTTAGTACTCATCAAAGCTTTGGGCCCAGTGAGAGGTGTGAACAGTAGTCCTTCCTATTTGGTCTGCAGGTGAAGTTGTCATCTTTCAAACGATTTCTTTTCCTTCCCCCTCCAGAAAACCCTGAGCGAGCTGCTCTGTACTTTGTCTCCGGCGTGTGCATCGGGCTGGTCGTGACCCTGGCTGCTCTGGTGATGAGAATCTCTTGCCACACGGATTGCAGGCGGGGTCCCCGTAGGAAGTTCCTGCAGGACGGTGAGAACAGCAGTGACAGCAGCGACAGTGAGGAGGACAGCTCGGACACCACGTCGGACAGGTCGATGCGGAGACATCGCCGCTTTGAGAGGACTTTGAACAAGAATGTGTTCACATCGGCGGAAGAGCTGGAGCGCGCCCAGCGGCTGGAGGAGCGGGAACGCATCATCAGAGAGATCTGGATGAACGGCCAACCCGAGGTGCCCGGCACCCGCAGCCTGAACCGCTATTACTAGGGGCGCAGGGGGACCCCCACCCCCCGGCACCCTTGGAAGCAGCCTAGAAAGGGGAGAATCGGCAGGGGTGGTGAGCACAAGGAGCTGAACCCAGCTCTGCTAATATTGTGGCGGCAGAGAAAAGCAGGACCCGTCAGTTTTCTATCCAGAACTGATTCTCCTTTTGACTTTATCTGTGGAGCAGAAGAAAAACCAGGTTGGTTCATCAACCTTTCCAGGTCTTGGAATGGTGCTGAAACCCCGTCTCCAACACTGTGGATGGAGATTTGAGAAACGGGACTATGGTTTCTCGATTTCTGAGGATCTCAGAAGTTTCTGCAGACTTCATTGCTAATCCTTTACAAAAGGAAAGATTCTCATAGTATGAGAGCTGGAGATGTCAGGGTGACCTTGACCCAGGAGATGCAATTTTCTAAGTGACTCCATGCTATGGAGCTGATTCTGATCTAGATAGCATGATCCATGCTTATTATTTAAGGCTAAACTTTTAAAAATGTTTGTGTTGCAATGGCAATCTCTCCATTTTAACTGGCACCTCAGGGATTAAAATCCTATTTTTTAGTATAGTCCCCACCTCATTCATAAAAATGAATGGAATTATTGTACAATGGGAGATGTGTCAGTGGACTAGAAAAAATGTCAATAATCTCAGAGGATGAAGGGTTTTTATTTTAAATGGTTTATGAAATATATATATATATAAATATATGGACATGCGTTTTTGAAAATGCTGCGTAAGAATAAAAGTTGTATATCTTCCCCCTTTGGAGAGAAGAAAAGTTTATTATGATTCCAAATAATCGTGATTTTAAACATTTTGTTTTTTAAAAAAATGGGATTTCCAACCACATGGATAATGGGAGGTGAGAGTTAAAGCAAAAATTAAGATGGGATAAAAAAATAAATGCTACATGAAATGTTTTTTGTTTGCTTATTTGTCTCTCTCCTTGCTTACACTTAGCTTAAATGAAAGCCTGGATACATAGGTGGGTATAGGCTTTTGCCAGGCCCCTCAGGGATTAAAAAGTGTGATTTTAATCCTCCTGTGTGATTATGGGCTTCTCATTTTGTGTAGGTTATATGCCGAATCTCAATACAGTTGAGTTATTGTTAGACAGACAGGAATGGAAGACTTCCTTAATGTTAAAGGTAAGACGGTGGGCCCCACAGGGAGAGAGGAAGTTGGTAGACACGGAACAGAGCCAAGACTGTGCCATATTAAAAATGACTTGAAGAGGAAGCAGCATCCTCTAGATGGGTAAACAGGAACCACGAGATGTTGGCCCTCTTCTCTTGCCGTAGGGTAGATTCCTTAGTCAGCCTATCTGGATGGGCTAATGCCTTCCTATTGGGAGGCTCTCTCCTGCTCATTGATTTTGTCACTAGGCCTAAGATGATGGCCAGAAAACTTCTTCCAATGGGCTCCGTACTCTTTAGTAATTCACTCTCAGTTATAGGGTTTGTTTTGTTGTTTTTTTCTTGGCTGCCTTAAGAACCAAGCAGTCACAATCTCTGGTTGACAGGAATGGCTGAAACCATTGGAGGCTGGCCTCCGTGGGTGGCCTCATTTTGGCGAGTAACAAGTATCAAAATCTTGTTCAGTCAGTATCTCTAAATTGTGATTCCCACCATTGTAATTGTAGTCCCAGAGCAACAACAGCAGGAATCATCCTATTTTCCTGGACTTTAGACAGACATCGTTTGTCTTGTTCTCCACTTCTTAGAAAAGAGGTACAGTTGGAACTACTGTCATTTCCAGGATGTATGCCCAGCTGATTAGAAGGAGGGATTATAATCTTTGCTAAGTGTCAGCTACGGTAGAGGAGGAGCTTGAGAGGGCTCTGGGGCCCATGGGTTTTCCAGTCCCCACTCCATTATCCTGATACTTTGCTGCTGAGTCCATGTTGATCTCATCATTGGAGCGGTAGAGATACCTAAGCCACAAAATATACTAGGTGACAGTTCAACCAGCTGCTTTACTTCATATAATGAGAATTCCAGTTTTTCAACTTTCCCTCTCGTGACTCACGTGGTTTCACGTTTATCACTCTATTCCTGGTTTGTTTCTGTGTAGGACACTTGCATCTGCAATAGAAATATTCACAAAACTCGGAAGACAGATTTGGATCTGACTTCAAGGATCATTGGGTTCAGGGGCTCAGATGTCAAAAGTTGGTGTCTCTCAGCTCTCAGCTCTGCATTGTTCCCTGCCACTCTTCTTATTTTCTTCTGCTGAAGGTGAAACTACCACACTTGTACCACCATAGTGTATTGGGTTGTTCAGACACGATACCCAGTACCCACAATGTAGATTCTACTTTTTTTTTTTGGTTCCCCCACCACCCCCAGTACCGGGAATCGAACTCATGACCTCACACTTGCCAGGCAGGCACTGTGCCTCTGAGCTGAATCCCCAGCCCAGTACCCACAGTGTAAAGGAAGAAAGGTTTATTTTCACTCCCAGTTTGAAGAGGTTTCATTCCATAGTGAGCTGGCTCCAAGGCAGGACAGCATGGCACAGGGGCCTGGCAGAGGAATAGCTGATCACTTTATAGTCTCCAGGAAGCAGAGAGCAAAGGGAAGAGCTAGGAGGGAGATTTACCCTTCTAGGCCACGCCCCCAGTTACTAACTCTTCTGAAAATCTCCTAGCATCACATTGAGCTATAACACCCCCATAACACAATCGCCTTTCAAAAGCCCTGCCTTTGAGCACATAAGGCTTTGGGGCGACATCCGGGTAGCTACTAACTAAGCTCCTGCATAGCTCACAGGTTGTGTCTGTGCATAGTTGGCACAATTTCACAGCCTATCTGGCTCAGAAGACAGACATCTTGAAAGGGATGCTTTTGGTGCAGTTTCCTTGGTCTTTCATGAGTCTACAGAGCAACACCAAGTGATAAATCAGAGAAAAATTTAGGTAGAAATCCTCTTCAGATATGAGGAAGGCCCCACCAACTTCCTCCTGAGCTGCCAGGCATGGTTGACCACCATCAACTCCTGGCACATCTAAACCCCCATGGACTCTTGCCATGTGGCAGGGAGCACACTGTAGACATCTGTGCATTTACATCTCCCTAATTCAAGGACACAGGAGGAACATAACACCTTGCTTCATGCTTCAGAGTACAAAATCACAGGGAAGGATGGTGTGGCCTGAGTTGTGTAATGTGCTCGTGCATGGCCCAGTTGTGGCCAAGCCATAGGCCTGGCTAAGATGAAAGTAGACCTGCGATGCTGAGCAGACACTTGCAGTAGCCACTACACTTCTTTATCCTGTAGTTTTTCTTGGTTCTCTTATTGTTAGTTCCCTAAGAAAGTCAGCTTAAAGGACAAAAGACTTATTTTGACTCACAGTTCCAGGGGCTTCAAACTGTAGTCAGCTTGCTCTGTTGTTTTTAGGACTGTGGTCAGGCAGAAACACCACAGCAGAAAGGCATGGGAGAGGAAGTTGTTCACAGCAGCCAGAAGGAAGGGAGAGAAGACAGAAAGGAGGGAAAGAAAAAGAGAAACAGAGAATGAGCTAGTAGGGTTTTTCCTGTTTCATTCCATTCAGGCCCACCCTATTGGACGGAGCTGTCTACATTTATGGCAGGTCTCCCCATGGTTACTGTTCCACGTGCCAGTTGTCTCTAGAAGTACTCTAACAGACATACCCAAAGTGTATTTTAATAATTTCCTATATATTTTTCAATCCGACAGGTTGGCAATCAGGATTAACCATCACACCTACCAGGTGGCTCCATAGCACAATGGATAGCACACTGGACTTTTAACCATCACACCTACCACTTCTTTTGAACTTTTTTTTTTTTTTTTTTTTGGTACTGGGAATTGAACTCAGGACCTTGCTCTTGCTGTGCAGGCACTTGTGCCACTGAGCTATATGCCAGCCCCTTCTTTTGATATTTTTACTTTTTTCTTAATGTCCTCTCCTTTCTTCCTCACTCTCTTCAATATGAACCCATACTCTAACCTTGAGCTGCTGATCTTATTCCACACAACTTGAGGCAACTTATATAATGTTTTGCTCTTTCTCTCTCTTCCCTACCTCCCCTTAGTAAACTTTCAGACTCATATGGCCAACTGTCCCTCAGCCACAGGAGAAGATCTTCACAGGGGTGTTTGGCAATTTCAACATGTTCTGGTTGTCACTGCTGTGTGTGTGTGTTGCTCCTATGTCTAATGACTAGAGGCTAGAGATGCTCCTAAACATTCTACAGTGTTGGACCTCATTTTCCAGCCACCATCACCCACATAACAAGAGAAGAAATCTCCAGGTGATTACAGTCCCCAGTCACCTGACTGCTTCCTATCAAAGTCCTAGGCATCATAGAATACAGCTCTTTCCAACTTCTTAGTCAGCAGGATCCAGGAGCAAGAAAATTGTTGGTGATTTTACATCCTTAAGGGTTAAGGTGATTTGTTAGATAACCAGACAACTCTCTGCTGTGGCTTCAATGCCCTGTCCACACTTAGGTCAAAATTTAATTGCAGTACCATTGTACAGTAGAACTTTAAGAGGTGGCTAAGTTACAAAGGTTCTGTCCTCATGAGTGGCTAACACTCTTACTGTGATGGTGGGTTCCTGATAAAAAGAATGAGTCCAGTCCAATTTCTCTTTCTTGTGCCTGCTTATCCTTCTACCATGTTAGGATGTAGCAAGAAAACCCTCACCAAAAGTGGCCCTTCCTTTCTGAGTTTCCCAGACTCTAGGACCCTGAGTCCATTAAGTTCTATTGTTTGTATTTTATTCACTCAATCTGTACCATTTTTTTTAATACCAGCAGAAAAGACTAAGACAATCCCTAAATCACACTCTCTTTTTTTGGGACTTAATACTCTATCCATATTCCCTGTCAGTGAATGACAAGGTCAACATGGTTGTCCAAGTCAGAAACCAGAGACCCTTTAAGACTCCTTTGTATGTAACCAATGACCAAATCTTCCCAATCTTTAATTCATGCATTGTGATAGTTAATCTCATTTGTCAACTTGATTGCACTGAGACACCTAGAAACTTGGTAGCTCATGCTTCCGGCTGTCCCTGTGAAAGTGTTTCCAGAGACAATTGGACGTGGGTCAGCAAACTGAGTGGGAAAGGCCCAAACTGAGTGGGGGAGCCTCCCGCTGTCCAATAGGCTGAGACCTCAGGTAGAACAAAAAGTGGAAGGAGGAGGAAGCTCATTCTCAGGTATATATGCTTCAGTAGTGAATTTCTTGCTGCCGCCATCACCCATGGGATCAGACTCTAGATTCTTCAACCTTTGAGTACAGACTCCCACCAGCAACTCTTCAGGGGCAACAGGCCTCAGCCTCAGCTTGGGGTTGCATCCTTGGTCCTTTCTGGGACTGAGCAGCTACTGGTTCCCTGGCTCTCTGGGCTTCAGATGGCCCTTGTGGGGTTATTCCGCCTCTGATCATATAAGCTAATCCAGTAACTCCCCTCTTTGAATTATACACACAGAAACACAAGGAGCCACGCATCTATCAAAGCCATCCTGAAAACAGCTACCCAAATATTTGGATTCAGTACACAGCTGCCTATGTAGCAATCCCTCTTTTAAACTCCTCAGTTTCTTCATATTGCTTACTGAAAATGTCCAAGAGCCCCTAGATTGCGTGCCATTCTTCCCCTGAATCGCTCCTGCTGGTTTTTCTGCCCCTCCTTGTCCATTCCTTTACTTCCAGTCAGATCAATGGCTTACAGTTCTCTGCCACACTCTTTATCCTCATTATCAATTCTGCCTAAAATACTTCTCCCTCATTCTTTCTCTTTCACCCTTCTACCCATCATTAAGACTGAAGACATGCGTTTTCTCTACCAGAAAGCCTCCCAAGATTTATGAGGGTCACGCAAGGAGTGTCCTTTAATTTCACAGATCGTGTGCTCACCCTGCTCACGAGTCTCACCTCGGTGTTG